GAGCGGCTGACTGTTTAAGGGAGCTTCCAAACCCATTGGTCAAATGGTTAAAACAGAGAGAAACAATCCCGAAACCGAAAAAAAATGACAGAATATATGGAAGCACTGCTGAAGGTGGGGAGAAAGTTTGGGTACTATGAGAACTGCCCAGGTTGTAAGATCGAACAGCTCAAACAATCAAACCATGGTGTCCCTTTGAAGCATTTCTTCTTTCTCTGGATTGTCACTTTATGTGCAGGTCATCTGTAATATACCCTCTCTCTTCGCACATAAACACATACACACAACCCAAGCCTATTATGCATATCGAATGAAGTTTCTTCGGCTTTATCTCGTTGTTTCGTACTGCAGGAGTAAAGATTGTTTATTTGGGTTCTTGAACTAACCGTTTCCGCTTAATATCTTAAAAAGAGTTGTTGGGCACCAATTTGATTATTGAGTTCTGCTGCCTCTTTTAATACTTTTTTAATCAAAAATTGACCCAGAAGTAGGTTTGGTGTAATTAGGAAAAAATAATTATTGTCACCAAAAAAGTCACTAATAACCTTGTTACCTTGACCCTTTTGCTTCTTCCTGGTATCAGTGTTGAAGTGCCACATCACAAGTCTAACTCTGTGTACCCAATACTTGGTCACACAGTCATACCTTCAGGTGTTGCTATAATTTCCTAATTTGGAAAGTGTAGATTCCGTCTTGAGACTATGTATTCCCACTATCTTAACAATGATTCCTCAAGATATGGAGTTGTTGATCCGTTGGACCTCAGTCATAGTAAACTCAGAGTCATAACTATCAAGGGAGTCCACTATTCTCCTGGGATAGAGAGCTTACTGCGAACAACCTGAAAAGCACCTCAAAGGTGACAGTTTTGCTTGACATGTTTCTTACGGCGATCCTGTTTAGTGTATGCCAAATACAATACACAATAGCCTAGAGCCCTCAACTTTGATAACTGAGGCAAACCATTCTATCAAATGGAGGTCTAAGTATACTATACGCACGGTATCGCATTTATTGCGGAGTGATAGTCAATAAGTCCAACCTCCTTCTATGACTAACAACGCCTTGTAGATTGAAACAATGGAAACATAGAGATGTGCAAGCTTTTTAGCTTGATCGACTCCCTCCAACATCATACTCTGATGGAAAGCAAGAAGGTGACAAGATATACCTCAAACCAAAAGAAATAAAGTATCTCACCTCACTTATGAAGAAATAGCCAGAGGTGGGCTCTGAATTATGAGATTTTGTTTTTGCTTATGTTTCTAGGAGCGGTCTAATCCCTTATTTGATTAGATCACTCTTTGTGTTCGAACTAGTCATCAATGGTTGGCTTAATTAGTACAGTTTTCGAGATAAGACATAATCGCGACTGCAACCCATTTCTGTTCTTGTATGACAATAGCATTGACATACTAAATTATTTCTTGAAGCAATTTAAGGATTAATCATCTCATGATATAACCATATCGATTGTAGGTTAATATTAATAAATCAAAATTTTTGATTTGATTCCATATGTTTTGAGTTTAAGGTCAGACTTCCTAACAATAAGTGCACTTATTATACCTTTAAATTTGTCTTTTGTTTATTTTTCTTTGTACTAGGGGAGGTCGCATATTCATGAAGTATTACAGCTTGTACTATACCGATAAAAGAATACCTCCCAAACTAGTATATGAGCCTTGTGGACTTCTCCGTTCATTGTCAATTAGTTTTTACTTGGATGCTATAGTAGTCAAACCAAACTAACCTCTATGTCTCAATCATTTTGGGGTCGGTCATATGAATCCGTCTTCGCCATTCATTTCGTTCATGCGCTATACGCTCATTTACGCTAGCATTAGTGCATATATCATTATTTGGACTCATCATAGTGAATCCAACAAAGTTTTACACTGACTGTTGGCTACCTAATGTAACCCTCTTCTTTTATGTTGGCTTGGGATAAGTAGCGTTGAATACAACACTGGCGGAGTTATTTGGATGCTATAGTGCCTAAGAAAATACATGATGAATGAAGGAAAAATATGTTAGTGCCTACATGGACGTACAAAGTTTCACAAATTATCGAGATACAATGAGTCTTATAATGGAACTTTGAAAGAGACTTGTCGAGCAATGATTAAAGCTTGAAATAATAGTATACAAGAATTAGTTTGGATTTATGTTAGGAAAGTCAAAGGAAGCTATTTATTTATTTATGAAACTTATAGAATGATGTAAGGAGGAAATATGCTATTTGTAGGGTTAAAGAAACATATGATAGAGAGACTAGAGATATGAGATGATGGTTCTATAAAAAATAGCAGATATAACATTGATATCATTTAGGATATGTATGATTGTGTGTGACTTTAGTGTGAACAACTATACAGTAGATTAGAGACTTCCAATCACTATAAGCTTTACATTAACGTTTTGCGTTGAGTTGGTATCTTTTTTGTTTTGGTTTTGAGTGAATTAACTAGACACATCAAGATCAGGTTTTAATTGTGAAGGGGCTTTCGAGGTTTCCTTTAGAATGAAATTTATTGTGTTACTTGATTAGCTAAACTNTTTGGTTTTGAGTGAATTAACTAGACACATCAAGATCAGGTTTTAATTGTGAAGGGACTTTCGAGGTTTCCTTTAGAATGAAATTTATTGTGTTACTTGATTAGCTAAAATCATTATATTTTAACCAAGGAACTAAACTAATTAGTGATTGAATATATCAATTCCTATGTTTCGATGTGTTTCTGAATGTTCTGACATATTTCGGTATGTTTCAATCAATGTTTCAAAAATAATTTTTTGATTTTTTTTTTCATTTTTCATCCTATTTCTAAAATGTNAATTCCTATGTTTCGATGTGTTTCTGAATGTTCTGACATATTTCGGTATGTTTCAAAAATAATTTTTTTCATTTTTTTTTCATTTTTCATCCTATTTCTAAAATATTTATGAAAATAGTTCGATTTTGGGCTAACCAGAATTGTGTAGTGAAACAAAATTTTGATCTTGATTTTAACATATAAATTTACAATGAATGCTAGAAGAATAAGAGGATAAGGAAAGGATGCTATAACCTTATAATCATTAAATAACAAGAACTAAACATAGGAAAAGAGGGGGACTAGACATGTTATCTTCCACGACCATGGCATCAGACAACTTTTATCGTCTTTCGACATCTTCGAACGATTGCCAATCACATATCTATCATGCTAAGAATCCATACTTCATTTCGTTATAATTGTTACTTTTATTTACATTTCGTAACTTTTTTATTGATCTTATAATACTGTTGTGAACCCAAGTAATGTTTGCTAATTTGGATAACTGATCAATATTTTGCATTTGATTGTGATTTGTTAGGTTTTGAAGTTATGAGTAATGGTTGTCCTACTTTTTTGGGAAATTTCAGTGGGCGTGTTCGTATCGTGTCGAATTTGTATTGTCTATTCACGTACATTTTTCTTAAAATTAGAAGTTTTTGAGAACAATTTTAGAATCAAGAGGATTCAAGATAAAAAGGATGGACTTAAACTAAATATGTTGAATGTAACATTGCAAAATAGAATTTTAAGTGGAGATAGTAAGGATTAAAGATAGACATACCAAGGAGTGATATGTTCGATACATTGGGGTCAACAAGGGAAGGGTGTATTGGAAATGATGTTGCTACTAAAGCATGAGAAAATAAGTGGATTGTGCAACTGGTGTAGGCTTTTAAATTAAAAAGGCAACTTGTACAATAAAACCATAAGACCAACTGCACTTTATGTTACCAAGGTTTGGCAATTAATAAACACCGCGTTCAAGGATTAAGTGGGACGGAAATGAGGATACTAAGATGATGTGTGGTAAAACTAGAAATGATTGAATTAGTAATGAACATATTCATAGAAACATAGAAGTAACACTAGTTAGAGATAAAATAAGAAAGAATTGACTCAATTATTTTGAGCATGTACTAAGACATGAGATGATTAATTTATGATACACAAACACTTTTGGTTGATTTTTGAGTGAATATTGCATGAGATAGTGGTTGGCTTTCATTGGTTTCGTCTCTAGTCACCACTGCGATTTTGATTTTGACTCCTTGCTTCCATGTGTGAGTTTGGTAGATTGTGTTGTGGGCAGATTTCTTCTATGGGTTGTTTTGGATAGATTGTGTTTCTCTTGCACTTACGTTGTGCAATTGTCAATATTGCTCCGTTTATTCCTTGTTGATGCATAGTTGGTTGTAGGTTTCTCAATGGGGACTTGGAATAATGTCAAAGGTCATCCAGTGGGTGATCAAGTTAAGGAGATTAGTTGTGATATTTTTTAATGTGGGTAATTGATTCGACAAGTTGTTCCATATTATTTGGAAATTATTCATTGTAATTGACTAATTCTGTGAAGTTTTCTTGTAAATATCAAACTATGCCCATGGTCATGATGCTTCAAAGATCAAGATCTGAAAGTTTCAAGGAAGACAAAAGTTTAATTTTCAAAGCTAAAACAATAGATATCCATTGCTCCTTCAAAGCTTAGGAAAGGTAATGACGTAGATAACTAAGAACCCTTGGTTTTATATTTTGGCTCATTGGATCAATCAATTCAATTTAGAATAATTCGTGTATGACACTCAGGCTTTTTCATGAAATTTTTTTCTAAACATTGAAAGTTGTTTTGAAAATATAGTTTGAGTCATGCATCGGATCCTCTCTGAATAACATTGCTTAGTACTCAATAGGTCGATTTTTTGCTTAATTTTCAGTTTAAAAGCTAGTAGGGACAATTTTGTGCTCGCTCATCTTCGGTTAGAGCGGTCTCGGGGAAAATTCAAAGAAACGTGAGAAGTAGGCAATGAAGATTGCCCTTCATACTGCGCAAGCGGTTTGCATACGGCTTGAAGGGCTCCTGCTCTACTTGATGGATTTTATTATGTTTTTCATTCTAGTGATAACTGTCCTCTAATCCATAGTTTAAGGTTGCGGTATCAACTATTGACTTANTTTCCCACCATGGCAGCTGCTCCTTCAGCCCTTCTCTTGTCCTTGTCATCTTCCTCCATGGATGCTCCTCCTAAAATTCATTGCCCATGGGGTGTTCTTGATATTGATTCAACTTCAATACCGCCTCCACCTTTTACTTTGCAGATCCCTGAAAAGTTTGCATCCATTGTGAAGGATGATAAAGATTCTCTTATTCCATATTCCACTCACTTTCAACTTCTATTATGTGAGGGTTAACTGTTGTTGTTAGGCTCAGCGAAGACTTGTACAAGCAGCAACTAGAGGAGTCACAAGAATAATTTTATAGGTAGGTTATTACTACCTAAGGGTTCCAAACCGTTAAGGTTAGAGGACCTAGGAACCCAACTTCAGCGGTTATGGAGCCCTAGTAGCCCTTGGAGATTGGTGCCATTGGGCAGAGGTTGCTTTGATATGCACTTTGATTGAGTGGAGAGCATGAGAAGGTTATGGGGCGAGGGGAGTTGCACCCTCTCCACTAGAATATTTCGGCTCTCACAGTGGGAACCGGATTTCATTCCCTATTCTCTGCAAGTTCAAACTCATGCTTAAGTTTAGATTTGGATCTACAATCTTAGCTAGGAATATTGGCATCCTAGATATCTTATGGAAGTTGCTCGGGGGTGGGTACTCCCTTGCTACTTGATTTGGCAACAAAAGAGGGTTGATTTGGTATGTTTGCTCGGGTCCTTGTAGATGTTGATTTACACAGTGATTTACCTGAGACATTATTGGTGGAATTCCAANTCGGGTCCTTGTAGATGTTGATTTACACAGTGATTTACCTGAGACATTATTGGTGGAATTCCAAGAACTTGGATTTTATGTCAATGTGGCTTGCAAAAAAAATCCCCCCAATCCGTGGGAAATAAGGTTGCGAAGCAGGTTGATAAAGGGCCGAAGGATCCCAAAAATGATGTTGTGGGAGTTTCTGATCATCCTCAACGCCACCATGAGGCTGCAGGTCCAACCTGCAAATCTGCGGAGGAGTAGGCTGAGGAGAACTCTCTCAATCCAGTGTCCCTTGCTGCTGAGTTAGTTGATTCCAATGACAACCAGGAGTTTGCAAAAGTAAATTTTCAAGTGGTTGAACCTATGGTTTCAACTCCTGTCGATAATCAAAGCTTGAAGTCTTGGTCGGATATAGTGGAAGAGGAGGAAAACAATATTAGCATTGTAGTGGCCTCTCTTGCTGAGTTTCCTGATTACCCAAATGTAGAGGCAAAGCTTCATTATAGTGCAACAGCGGTTGAGTTGGGGAACACCGAAATTGCTTGGTTGAATCAGGTTCCTTAAGCAGTGGACAACATTCTTGTGGAGGAGGAGCGCCTAACTCATACTCAGGCCTTCAAAGAGGCACAGGAAGTTGTCCCAGCGGATGGTAATCAAGGGATTTTTGGTCTCTAAATCAAGCTGCTATGCTAGCTTTAGCTTGGAATTAATTAAACTCAAAGGAACAATGGGCATTTGTTCTTCGTGCTCATTTTTTAATTCTTCATATGAGCCAATTTCATATTACAAGAGCTCAAGCATTTGGCCAGGAATTCGGAACCCGCTGGGAGTATTCACACAAAATTCCCAGGGGATTGTTGTTGATGGTGGGACTATTAGGTTTTGGGTGGATAATTGGTTGGGCTCCCCTTTATTTGCCCTTTGTAATAGTCATCCTCTCTTGGTGTCCCAATTGACTTCTAAGGTTTCAGATTATATTTCTGGAGGGGAATGGNTTGGTTGGGCTCCCCTTTATTTGCCCTTTGTAATAGTCATCCTCTCTTGGTGTCCCAATTGACTTCTAAGGTTTCAGATTATATTTCTGGAGGGGAATGGTCCATTCCATCCCTGTTTCAACTCAAGATTCCTGGGGTTTGGCAACGGATCAAGGAGGTGATATGGACCACTAGTGAGATGGATCAACTGGTTTGGTGCCCTTCCACTGATGGTTTGTTAACACTAAAATCAGCATATGATGTTATTCGATTGGAAATTCCTGTGAACGCATTGGTCAAGCTGATTTCATCAAAGTTTATTCATCTGTGACACTCTATATTACTTTGGCGTTTGATACAAGAAAAGTTGCCACTGGGTGTGGACCTTCGGAAGAGGGGGGCTGTTCTAGTTTCTGCTTGCTCACTATGTTCTCTTCCAATTGCTTCGGAATGTTTAAATCACCTCTTTTCTCATTCATTTTGCTCGGAACCTATGGGGTTGGATAAGATCTATTTTTGACAGGAACTCTGTGGTGGTTTCTTTTAGTGAGCTCTGGGCTCTCTTGAAAAGTTTGGGCCTTAGTTTTTAACCTAAAGAGTTTGAGTTGAGTATTATGGTGAATTGTGTTTGGGCTATTTGGAATTGAAATGATCGTAGATTTAAGGACGTTGCCCCAACACTTCCTCGTGCTAGGCACTCTGGCTTCGAGCACTATGTTTAATTCTGTAGAGGAGCTTCAGAACCTTAAGCAGCTAGGTATCAAAGGGCATCCTTGTCGTGCTCCAGTTATCTGGGAAGTTTCATGGCAGAAACTGACTCCCCAGTGGCTAAAACTTAACACTGATGGCGCAGCAAGGGACTGCCCAGCGCAGTTGCTTGTGGAGGTGTTTTCAACACCTTTTGAGTTGTTGTTAAGGGTGCTTTGCTTTCAACCTTCCTTTGGGGATTCGCTCAGCCTGCTATGCAGAGCTGATGGCAGTCATAAAGGGGATTGATTTAGCTTTGACTTTTGGTTGGAACCGGATTTGGTTGGAGTGTGATTCCAAATTCTCACGAGTGGTATTTCTACGAGATGTATATTGGAACCATGGGAAGTAAAACCTCTATGGCAATTATGTTGTCATCAAATGCGTTCTATGTGTGTACAAATTTCTCATATTTATAGGGAGGGGAACCAGGTTGCTGATGCTCTTGCGAATTATAGTATCTTGGCTCCTATGTTCACTCGGTGATCGTCACCTCCGGATTTCATTCTTCCATAGGTTATCGAGACATTTTGGTCATCCTAGCTTTCAATTTAAGCTCTGATATAATTCATACATTGAACAATTTTTTCTTTTAGTTCCCTATGGTAAGTCTTGTAACGTCTTTCCCCCCCCCTCCTCTCTCTCTCTCTCTCTTTACATGTGCCTTTTATTCTATTAATAAATTTCTCGATTGAGGTTAAATAGAAAAAAGATGTTGTGGGTTCGTTCTCTACTATGTGAGATGAGTATTGTTGTGTTTCTCTTATGCAGATGCATTACAACAGCCAACCAACTATTTTGATTGCTAATAATATGGTATTTCATGAGTGTACTAAGCATATCAAAATTGATTGTCATTTTATTTGAGATCTTTTGATGGAAAAAGAGATTATCACTCCAAATATAAGTGTGGTCATTAGTTGGGTGATATTCTTTACCAAATTGTTGGTTCGGTTTGTCCTTAGTAACCTTTGTTCCAAACTCAACATTGTTTATCTTTATGCTCTTGGTTGAGGGTGTGTGCTAGAGTTCTTGAAGTATTTGCTATAATAAGTGAGTGTAGGGTAATATTTTTGTTAAAGTCTAAATACTTAAGTTATACCATCTCTAACATTTTAAGCTTTTGGAGTAAATGATTGTTTAACATGGTATTAGAACATGAGGTATTGTGTTCGAATTTCGCCGCCACCCTAATTATTAAAAGATTTCTACGTGCTAAACCCAAAATCTAGCCAACACATTGCTTAAACTTTTGGAGTAAATGGTTATTTAACAATTTTAATTGTCCGCAATATTTTTCTAACATAAATAAGAATGTGTAGGGAAATACAAACTACTCACGACGAATTACTTTGTCAAGCTCTTTCTTCCTCTCTTTCTCTTCAACTCTAACACCAAGAGCTATTGTCATTACCATGCTTATAGAGGACCTATTACTAAACCAGTGAACAAGAGTGATGTGATACATTTTGATGGTGATGCGAGTGATAGAGAAAAGACTGAAATTAACATTGAATGAGATAGCAAAAAAAGATATGATAGACCGGCATTTAACAAAAATATGGCCCATCACAATGGCAAAAGTACATCAAATAATTGGGTCAAGGTTTTGTTGATTTGAGTTGTAGATGATAATAAAAATTGATGAATAGACTTCAAAGAATTTATTCATTTATATGAAATATGCATGGTGAATCAAGTTCTTGATTCTTTATTTAAGATATGTTGTGTCTTTTTTTCTAAAGTGTTATGCCTTTTTTTTTTTCACTGTGTGTTATACATTCATTCTTTTTTCTTTCTTATGGTCTTTACGTGATATATAGTTTAAAGATATGGATATTGTGACTAATATGAAGACAAGGATCAAAATATCATTTTGAAACGGTCGAAACGTCCGAAACGTTTCCGTTTTTCAGGAGACCGAAACGAAATAGTAATGGAATTGAAATTTTGATATTTTGAGGTATTCCATATGTTTTTAAATGTATTATAATATTTCAATGCATTTGCATAATTGTTTTAGAATGTTTCAAGATATTTCAAGATACTTTGATATATTTTTATCAATGTTTTAAAAAAATAATTCTTAAATTTTTTATTTTTTTCATCAAGTTTTCGAAATGGGTCGAAACGTTTCCGAAACACGTTTAAACGTTTCCGTTTTCTAGGTGATCGAAACAATACACTGAAACGATATTTTGATCATTGTATGAAGAAATGCTACTTTTATTTGAATTGAGTCATACTCCCAATTTTGTATGAATGCTAAATTTTAGTTTCTGTGGATTTACTAATCTGAAGAAATGCTACTTTTATTTTAATTGATCTCCATCTGCTGGAAGTATGGCTGTTATTTCTGGCTTCAAGTTTTTCCCTTGCAGAATTGCACTCTGAAATATCCCTCTTGTTTGCAGCGTTGCCGATATCTTCTCTTTTTCCATTCCTATATTTCATGGTAGGTACATTACTTTATCAAACTTCACTAATTCTAGTCTGCTAGATGTTTCTTGATACTATATATGAATGAGATTACTTTTTCATTGTGAATGGGAAACATATTGATCTAAATATACATTAGTTTCTACGATGGCGATGGTAGAAACAATTATAGCATCCTCATAAGAAAAGAGAAATAGTTAAATTAGAGAAAGTTAGGCCGTGTTTGGTTATCATCTGCAAAACAATTTTTTATTCCCAAAATTTTAAAAACACCCAAACCTATTTGTTTACCATTTTTGTTCTCAAAATTTTCGAAAAAAAAAAGATTTGAAACACAAAAACAGAAAACAAGTCAGGCTTGTTTTCTGAGTTTTATTTGAAAATTGTGAAAACACAGGACCTTATTTATTGTGCACTTATTGTACCTCTATAATTTNCTTGTTTTCTGAATTTTATTTGAAAATTGTGAAAGCACAGGACCTTATTTATTGTGTACTTATTGTACCTCTATACTTTTTTTTTTTCCATTCTTTTTCCCTGACCCCTCTCTCTCTTTCTCTGACCTCTCTTTCTCTTGTGCCGACATCATGGATTTGTCTTCAACCCATAGATCCGGCGACTGAAAGCACAAATCCTTTGGTGGTGGTTGTGGGTGTTGGGTGATTCTTGGTTTAGGTGGGGGAGGTGGTTGTGGGTATTGGGTGGTTCTCGGTGTGGGTTGGTGGTCGTTGTGGGTGTTGGGTGGTTCTCGGTNCATCACCGGTGATGACGTCATCCTTTTTCGATCGTGAATACCACCATCAGACTCGAAATTGCATGGGCTTTCTGCTGGTATGATTTGTTTTTGAGTTTGAGCACATCTCGTAGGTGTTTCTATTTTTTTAATATNGTGGGTTGGTGGTGGTTGTGGGTGTTGGGTGGTTCTCGATTTGGGTGGTGGTCTTGGTGGTGGGTGTTGGGTGGTTCTAGGTGTGGGTTGGTGGTGGTTGTGTGTTGTGGGTTGATGGTGGTTGTGGGTGGTGGTTGTGGTTGTTGGGTTGATGGTGGTTGTGAGTGTTGGTTTGATGGTGGTTCACGGTTGTGGGTGTTGGGTGATACATAGTGAAAGAGGGAGACAGAGAGTTGAAAATTGGGAATTGTAGATTATTGTCCAAACAAATTTATAATTTTTGTTCTTTAAAACTATTTTCAAAAATATATAATCAAACAGGTTTTGTAATCTAAAAATTTTAAAAACACTTTCTTAAAACTCTTTTCAAAAATAGTTTTCAGATACTATTTTTTGAGATTCAAAACCAAACATGCCCTTATTTTTTAATTTTTATTTTTGAAGAATTGGTTCAAGTAAGATGGGGCCTCTCGGGAGGAATTAAGATGAAATCCCCAAAGTACACAGGTAATTTTTGTTCCAAATCTTATGAAATGAGTAAGCATAGTCATTGGTATACATTATAGTTTTTATAAAGATATGTTGTTCATCACCTTTCCAACATTCTCTTTTGGTGGTACTTCATTGCATTCCATTTCAATTATTGAACAAAGGGGACTTTTATTATGAATAATTAGTAACATCTTTCTTGTTAAAAACCACTTTATATATATATATATATATATATTTCTCAATTCAAATTTTTAATATTTTTTTAGTTCACCGAATGTGAAAATTTTAGATAGTGAACTAAGAGTTTCATTCTATTAAAGTTTATTATTTGTGAAAATTTTGGACAGTGAACTAAGAGCTTTATTTTATTAAAGTTCATTGTTTGTGAAAATTTTTTAAACTAGGAGTTTCATTATGTTAAAATTCCTTGTTTTTGGAGTTCACTATTTATGTTTTTTTTAATATTTTTTGAATTCACTGTTTTTGATATATATTTCTTAATTCAAATTCTCAATAATTTTGTAGTTCACTGTCTGTGAAAATTTTGGATTGGGAACTAGGAGTTCCATTTTATTAAAGTTCACTGTTTTTGAAAATTTTATGAACTAGTAATTTTATTCTATTGAAATTTAGTATTTTTTTGTTTCATTTTGTGGGAGGATGGAAGATAGGGGAGAGAGAAATAAATTTACCACGGTGGTTGTGGTGGTGGTGGTGGGGGTGGCAAATGGTGGTGGTGGTGGTGGGATGATGATAGTAGTGGTAATAAATATAAGAATGAGACGATGGTGGAGGTTATTAAGCAATCTCCTTCATTAAGGGTATTTTTGTCAATTGTTAATTTTATTGATTTTTGCCCTTTAAAGTATTCAGGTTGGACCTAAAACCTAAAAAATCCCCAAATGTAGACTTGTGGCCTGTTTCGCCTAAAAAAAAAAATGAGTATGCTGAAACATCCGATCATCAACATTGACTGTAGTGAATGTACAATTGCTAATACTTACCGAAAACAAAATGGAATAATGCCGAAGTGCGAAGAGAATTTAATGTCCATTATAGGGTGTACTTCAAGGTGAGGGTAATGAAATAAAAGTACTTGTATGTATGCACATTTTCTGGTCCATAATGAGACTTGTTAGAGCTTAATACAATCTTAAATATGTGTCCATGCGAGGATTTTGTTCTTCCAAACTTAATGTTTTATTGTTTTTTTTTCCCACTTTTTAACTATGGTGAGCCCTGACGTTTTCACTTTCTGAAGATAAGGGATTTCCATATTGCAAAAAGAGAGGAAGATATTGGGTATTATGCAGGTTATGTAGGTCAGTGCACTTTAGGCATTGTATTTCTTAATCTAAGCAACCTTCCTGAAGCTTTTGTTCCTTATGATAACTTAATTCTCTTGAAGGATCTTCATTTATGTTTGGAAGAGCTTTGACTTCGTTTCTTTGGGGAGTGGTGGCTGATCGATATGGTCGAAAGCCAGTCATAATGATTGGCACAATTGCAGTGTCAGTAATACTGGACCATTGTTTCTTATTTGCACGTGTATTCTAATGTCCTATTGACAGACTTATCTACAATGAGAAAATCCATATTGTTGTCTCATTTCTGGTTCCAGGGCTATATTTAATACCCTCTTTGGACTTAGTACAAATTTTTGGATGGCTGTTTCTACAAGGTTTCTTCTAGGAAGTTTGTGCGGAGTACTTGGCCCAATGAGGGTATGCTTCTTGCCCTTGATATTGAGTTCTATGCAGTACGTAATGTGAAATTGTTTTTATGGTTTTTTGAGTTGATATGTACTGTGACTTCCAAAGAGACTCATGTTCAAATGTGCATGATGAAATGGTCGGAGAGGGGAGCCAGGGTATTATCTGATTAGAGGCTTTAGTCATGCTAGGTTGAAAACTGGGTCACAGCAGGGATTGATGATCAAAGGTGACTGGGATAAATGGGTCCCCATTGTTGGTTACAATTTCCATATGCTAGGTTGAAAACTGGGTCATGAGCACCACTGGTTTATGATTTTAATTTTACATGAAAATACGACCAAAAGGTCCATTCAATTCCCCTCTTTTTAAATCCATGCCATAAGTACATAACTCATACATAGCCCATTTCAAAACTAGGTAGCAAATGAAAGCTCATGATGTCCTTCCAAATCTAGTATACAATAACCAACATACAACTACCAATCTCCTTAAATCCAGATTCATAATCACTGTCCGATCCAACATATCACTACATCATAAATGTACACACACGCCACAAGTTCCAAAACTAGTTAAAGTATCAATACATGCCCTAGATATGTCAAATATGTCGCTCATATCGTTCCACTATTGATACAATTGCAAAGAAAGACTAGTGGCCTCTGTTAGAGTATTCATAATAAGGGTAGTTTAGGTATTCTCTTTATGTTGTGTTGTCCTACTATATAAGGGTTACTTTATGTATTTCTAGGTTAGGTTGTGTATTATAGACTTGCTCTTGGTTTTATACATTTTCTCTTTCTCTTCTCTATGATTAATATTATCACAGTATCAGAGCCTAAGACCTAAGACATCAGCAATTATGACAGAATTTCTCCCTTTTTTTTTCTGGGCTGTCGGAGAATGACGTCAGCATCACCGGTGATGACGTCATCCTTTTTCGATCGTGAATACCACCATCAGACTCGAAATTGCATGGGCTTTTTGCTGGTATGATTTGTTTTTGAGTTTGAGCACATCTCGTAGGTGTTTCTATTTTTTTAATATTTTCGGCCTAAATTTTTGAATTTCTTCAATCTGTTGAAACAAGGGTTTTTTGCTACAAATTTTGGTTCAAATCTTCTCTAAGAGGCACGACTAAGCTTCCTGGGTCACCTCTTGAGAGACTCAAAGATTTTGAATAACATTTTGGCTTAATTTTGGACAACCGAGGGTTTCGGTATGCCTAATTGTGGCTTCGGTATGCCTGATTATGGCTTCGGTATGCCTGATTATGGCTTCGGTAAGAGTATCTATGTCTTGTTGTTGATTGGTATTGGGCAGTCTAGTTGTGTTTTGTTGTTGGGCAGTGTCTCTGCTCTGTTGTTATCAACGCCGGTGTAGTGGGCATTCTGGTTGGCTTCGGCAGTGTGGTTGTGGCTTCGGCAGTGTGGTTCCTTCTTTGGTGTTGTTTGGTATTTGGTATTATCGCTTTATTTGTTGATTGTTGTTCTGGGTTTTGACTATGGATTGTTCTTTTGGTGTTATTGTGTTGTTTGGTGGCTGTTGGGGTTTTGACTATTTTGATTTTGATAACAATGGCAAGTGAAAATTCTGATTTACTTCAAGCCATTAGTGTGAGATTAATAGGTGGAAATTATGTTTATTGGACTTATGTTATAAAAAAAATTTTAATGAGAAAAGATATGTGGAATTTTATTAGTAGTGTTGCACAAGCTCTAACTGATACTAAGGCTGAAGATTATGCTGCTTTGAAGAGTACTTGAGATATCAACAATGCAAAAATTATCACCTGGATTAATACCTCAGTTGATTAGACCATTGGGGTTCATCTATCGAAGTTTGGCACAACTAAGGAAATATAGGATTATTTGGCCACACTTTTTGTCCAGTCTAATTTTTGCAAAGAGATATCAGCTAGAACATAAGATTCACNCTGATTTACTTCAAGCCATTAGTGTGAGATTAATAGGTGGAAATTATGTTTATTGGGCTTATGTTATAAAAAAAAATTTAATGAGAAAAGATACGTGGAATTTTATTAGTAGTGTTGCACAAGCTCTAACTGATACTAAGGCTGAAGATTATACTGCTTTGAAGAGTACTTGAGATATCAACAATGCAAAAATTATCACCTGGATTAATAACTCATTTGATTAGACCATTGGGGTTCATCTATCGAAGTTTGGCACAACTAAGGACATATAGGATTATTTGGCCACACTTTTTGTCCAGTCTAATTTTTGCAAAGAGATATCAGCTAGAACATAAGATTCGCNTGTGGTTGTTGGGTTGATGGTGGTTGTGAGTGTTGGTTTGATGGTGGTTCACGGTTGTGGGTGTTGGGTGATACATAGTGAAAGAGGGAGACAGAGAGTTGAAAATTGGGAATTGTAGATTATTGTCCAAACAAATTTATAATTTTTGTTCTTTAAAACTATTTTCAAAAATATATAATCAAACAGGTTTTGTAATCTAAAAATTTTAAAAACACTTTCTTAAAACTCTTTTCAAAAATAGTTTTCAGATACTATTTTTTGAGATTCAAAACCAAACATGCCCTTATTTTTTAATTTTTATTTTTGAAGAATTGGTTCAAGTAAGATGGGGCCTCTCGGGAGGAATTAAGATGAAATCCCCAAAGTACACAGGTAATTTTTGTTCCAAATCTTATGAAATGAGTAAGCATAGTCATTGGTATACATTATAGTTTTTATAAAGATATGTTGTTCATCACCTTTCCAATATTCTCTTTTGGTGGTACTTCATTGCATTCCATTTCAATTATTGAACAAAGGGGACTTTTATTATGAATAATTAGTAACATCTTTCTTGTTAAAAACCACTTTATATATATATATATATATATATTTCTCAATTCAAATTTTTAATATTTTTTTAGTTCACCGAATGTGAAAATTTTAGATAGTGAACTAAGAGTTTCATTCTATTAAAGTTTATTATTTGTGAAAATTTTGGACAGTGAACTAAGAGCTTTATTTTATTAAAGTTCATTGTTTGTGAAAATTTTTTAAACTAGGAGTTTCATTATGTTAAAATTCCTTGTTTTTGGAGTTCACTATTTATGTTTTTTTTAATATTTTTTGAATTCACTGTTTTTGATATATATTTCTTAATTCAAATTCTCAATAATTTTGTAGTTCACTGTCTGTGAAAATTTTGGATTGGGAACTAGGAGTTCCATTTTATTAAAGTTCACTGTTTTTGAAAATTTTATGAACTAGTAATTTTATTCTATTGAAATTTAGTATTTTTTTGTTTCATTTTGTGGGAGGATGGAAGATAGGGGAGAGAGAAATAAATTTACCACGGTGGTTGTGGTGGTGGTGGTGGGGGTGGCAAATGGTGGTGGTGGTGGTGGGATGATGATAGTAGTGGTAATAAATATAAGAATGAGACGATGGTGGAGGTTATTAAGCAATCTCCTTCATTAAGGGTATTTTTGTCAATTGTTAATTTTATTGATTTTTGCCCTTTAAAGTATTCAGGTTGGACCTAAAACCTAAAAAATCCCCAAATGTAGACTTGTGGCCTGTTTCGCCTAAAAAAAAAAATGAGTATGCTGAAACATCCGATCATCAACATTGACTGTAGTGAATGTACAATTGCTAATACTTACCGAAAACAAAATGGAATAATGCCGAAGTGCGAAGAGAATTTAATGTCCATTATAGGGTGCACTTCAAGGTGAGGGTAATGAAATAAAAGTACTTGTATGTATGCACATTTTCTGGTCCATAATGAGACTTGTTAGAGCTTAATACAATCTTAAATATGTGTCCATGCGAGGATTTTGTTCTTCCAAACTTAATGTTTTATTGTTTTTTTTTCCCACTTTTTAACTATGGTGAGCCCTGACGTTTTCACTTTCTGAAGATAAGGGATTTCCATATTGCAAAAAGAGAGGAAGATATTGGGTATTATGCAGGTTATGTAGGTCAGTGCACTTTAGGCATTGTATTTCTTAATCTAAGCAACCTTCCTGAAGCTTTTGTTCCTTATGATAACTTAATTCTCTTGAAGGATCTTCATTTATGTTTGGAAGAGCTTTGACTTCGTTTCTTTGGGGAGTGGCGGCTGATCGATATGGTCGAAAGCCAGTCATAATGATTGGCACAATTGCAGTGTCAGTAATACTGGACCATTGTTTCTTATTTGCACGTGTATTCTAATGTCCTATTGACATACTTATCTACAATGAGAAAATCCATATTGTTGTCTCATTTCTGGTTCCAGGGCTATATTTAATACCCTCTTTGGACTTAGTACAAATTTTTGGATGGCTGTTTCTACAAGGTTTCTTCTAGGAAGTTTGTGCGGAGTACTTGGCCCAATGAGGGTATGCTTCTTGCCCTTGATATTGAGTTCTATGCAGTACGTAATGTGAAATTGTTTTTATGGTTTTTTGAGTTGATATGTACTGTGACTTCCAAAGAGACTCATGTTCAAATGTGCATGATGAAATGGTCGGAGAGGGGAGCCAGGGTATTATCTGATTAGAGGCTTTAGTCATGCTAGGTTGAAAACTGGGTCACAGCAGGGATTGATGATCAAAGGTGACTGGGATAAATGGGTCCCCATTGTTGGTTACAATTTCCATATGCTAGGTTGAAAACTGGGTCATGAGCACCACTGGTTTATGATTTTAATTTTACATGAAAATACGACCAAAAGGTCCATTCAATTCCCCTCTTTTTAAATCCATGCCATAAGTACATAACTCATACATAGCCCATTTCAAAACTAGGTAGCAAATGANTATATATATATATATATTTCTCAATTCAAATTTTTAATATTTTTTTAGTTCACCGAATGTGAAAATTTTAGATAGTGAACTAAGAGTTTCATTCTATTAAAGTTTATTATTTGTGAAAATTTTGGACAGTGAACTAAGAGCTTTATTTTATTAAAGTTCATTGTTTGTGAAAATTTTTTAAACTAGGAGTTTCATTATGTTAAAATTCCTTGTTTTTGGAGTTCACTATTTATGTTTTTTTTAATATTTTTTGAATTCACTGTTTTTGATATATATTTCTTAATTCAAATTCTCAATAATTTTGTAGTTCACTGTCTGTGAAAATTTTGGATTGGGAACTAGGAGTTCCATTTTATTAAAGTTCACTGTTTTTGAAAATTTTATGAACTAGTAATTTTATTCTATTGAAATTTAGTATTTTTTTGTTTCATTTTGTGGGAGGATGGAAGATAGGGGAGAGAGAAATAAATTTACCACGGTGGTTGTGGTGGTGGTGGTGGGGGTGGCAAATNATTTAGTATTTTTTTGTTTCATTTTGTGGGAGGATGGAAGATAGGGGAGAGAGAAAGAAATTTACCACGGTGGTTGTGGTNAATTTTATTCTATTGAAATTTAGTATTTTTTTGTTTCATTTTGTGGGAGGATGGAAGATAGGGGAGAGAGAAATAAATTTACCACGGTGGTTGTGGTGGTGGTGGTGGGGGTGGCAAATGGTGGTGGTGGTGGTGGGATGATGATAGTAGTGGTAATAAATATAAGAATGAGACGATGGTGGAGGTTATTAAGCAATCTCCTTCATTAAGGGTATTTTTGTCAATTGTTAATTTTATTGATTTTTGCCCTTTAAAGTATTCAGGTTGGACCTAAAACCTAAAAAATCCCCAAATGTAGACTTGTGGCCTGTTTCGCCTAAAAAAAAAAATGAGTATGCTGAAACATCCGATCATCAACATTGACTGTAGTGAATGTACAATTGCTAATACTTACCGAAAACAAAATGGAATAATGCCGAAGTGCGAAGAGAATTTAATGTCCATTATAGGGTGCACTTCAAGGTGAGGGTAATGAAATAAAAGTACTTGTATGTATGCACATTTTCTGGTCCATAATGAGACTTGTTAGAGCTTAATACAATCTTAAATATGTGTCCATGCGAGGATTTTGTTCTTCCAAACTTAATGTTTTATTGTTTTTTTTTCCCACTTTTTAACTATGGTGAGCCCTGACGTTTTCACTTTCTGAAGATAAGGGATTTCCATATTGCAAAAAGAGAGGAAGATATTGGGTATTATGCAGGTTATGTAGGTCAGTGCACTTTAGGCATTGTATTTCTTAATCTAAGCAACCTTCCTGAAGCTTTTGTTCCTTATGATAACTTAATTCTCTTGAAGGATCTTCATTTATGTTTGGAAGAGCTTTGACTTCGTTTCTTTGGGGAGTGGCGGCTGATCGATATGGTCGAAAGCCAGTCATAATGATTGGCACAATTGCAGTGTCAGTAATACTGGACCATTGTTTCTTATTTGCACGTGTATTCTAATGTCCTATTGACATACTTATCTACAATGAGAAAATCCATATTGTTGTCTCATTTCTGGTTCCAGGGCTATATTTAATACCCTCTTTGGACTTAGTACAAATTTTTGGATGGCTGTTTCTACAAGGTTTCTTCTAGGAAGTTTGTGCGGAGTACTTGGCCCAATGAGGGTATGCTTCTTGCCCTTGATATTGAGTTCTATGCAGTACGTAATGTGAAATTGTTTTTATGGTTTTTTGAGTTGATATGTACTGTGACTTCCAAAGAGACTCATGTTCAAATGTGCATGATGAAATGGTCGGAGAGGGGAGCCAGGGTATTATCTGATTAGAGGCTTTAGTCATGCTAGGTTGAAAACTGGGTCACAGCAGGGATTGATGATCAAAGGTGACTGGGATAAATGGGTCCCCATTGTTGGTTACAATTTCCATATGCTAGGTTGAAAACTGGGTCATGAGCACCACTGGTTTATGATTTTAATTTTACATGAAAATACGACCAAAAGGTCCATTCAATTCCCATCTTTTTAAATCCATGCCATAAGTACATAACTCATACATAGCCCATTTCAAAACTAGGTAGCAAATGAAAGCTCATGATGTCCTTCCAAATCTAGTATACAATAACCAACATACAACTACCAATCTCCTTAAATCCAGATTCATAATCACTGTCCGATCCAACATATCACTACATCATAAATGTACACACACGCCACAAGTTCCAAAACTAGTTAAAGTATCAATACATGCCCTAGATATGTCAAATATGTCGCTCATATCGTTCCACTATTGATACAATTGCAAAGAAAGACTAGTGGCCTCTGTTAGAGTATTCATAATAAGGGTAGTTTAGGTATTCTCTTTATGTTGTGTTGTCCTACTATATAAGGGTTACTTTATGTATTTCTAGGTTAGGTTGTGTATTATAGACTTGCTCTTGGTTTTATACATTTTCTCTTTCTCTTCTCTATGATTAATATTATCACAGTATCAGAGCCTAAGACCTAAGACATCAGCAATTATGACAGAATTTCTCCCTTTTTTTTTCTGGGCTGTCGGAGAATGACGTCAGCATCACCGGTGATGACGTCATCCTTTTTCGATCGTGAATACCACCATCAGACTCGAAATTGCATGGGCTTTTTGCTGGTATGATTTGTTTTTGAGTTTGAGCACATCTCGTAGGTGTTTCTATTTTTTTAATATTTTCGGCCTAAATTTTTGAATTTCTTCAATCTGTTGAAACAAGGGTTTTTTGCTACAAATTTTGGTTCAAATCTTCTCTAAGAGGCACGACTAAGCTTCCTGGGTCACCTCTTGAGAGACTCAAAGATTTTGAATAACATTTTGGCTTAATTTTGGACAACCGAGGGTTTCGGTATGCCTAATTGTGGCTTCGGTATGCCTGATTATGGCTTCGGTATGCCTGATTATGGCTTCGGTAAGAGTATCTATGTCTTGTTGTTGATTGGTATTGGGCAGTCTAGTTGTGTTTTGTTGTTGGGCAGTGTCTCTGCTCTGTTGTTATCAACGCCGGTGTAGTGGGCATTCTGGTTGGCTTCGGCAGTGTGGTTGTGGCTTCGGCAGTGTGGTTCCTTCTTTGGTGTTGTTTGGTATTTGGTATTATCGCTTTATTTGTTGATTGTTGTTCTGGGTTTTGACTATGGATTGTTCTTTTGGTGTTATTGTGTTGTTTGGTGGCTGTTGGGGTTTTGACTATTTTGATTTTGATAACAATGGCAAGTGAAAATTCTGATTTACTTCAAGCCATTAGTGTGAGATTAATAGGTGGAAATTATGTTTATTGGACTTATGTTATAAAAAAAATTTTAATGAGAAAAGATATGTGGAATTTTATTAGTAGTGTTGCACAAGCTCTAACTGATACTAAGGCTGAAGATTATGCTGCTTTGAAGAGTACTTGAGATATCAACAATGCAAAAATTATCACCTGGATTAATACCTCAGTTGATTAGACCATTGGGGTTCATCTATCGAAGTTTGGCACAACTAAGGAAATATAGGATTATTTGGCCACACTTTTTGTCCAGTCTAATTTTTGCAAAGAGATATCAGCTAGAACATAAGATTCACGTGGGCGTCAAGGAGACAAAAATATACAAGAATTCTATTCAATTATGACTGGCTTATGGGATCAGCTAGCACTTACTGAACCCACTAAGTTGAGCACTAATCTGACATATCGCACCTTCAGAGAGGAACAGAGACTGGTGCAATTCTTGATGGCCCTTAGAAATGACTTCGAGGGACTTCGTGATTCCATTCTTCATCGTTACCCACTCCCCTCGGTGGATGCAGTTGTTAATGAGCTCTTAGCTGAAGAAGTTCGCCTTAAAACCCTTTCTGGAAAGGGTCTTATTCCACTGCCAAATCAGACTGTGTTGGCTATTCCTTCCAAAGTGACCTCTAATTCTCAAAACAAATATCGAGGTTGAGTTGTTTCTGATGAGTGTAACTTCTATCGTGAAAAGAGTCACTAGAAGGCCCAATGTTCGAAGTTGATCAACAAGAATGCACGAGGGTCTCAAAATCAATCATTTAAGTCCAAAGATCGTCATACAGCAGCCGTAGCACTGCCAGTGGATGAGTCAGCCTCATCAGCTCCTAGCTTAACTATGCTTGCAGACCAATTACAACAGCTTCTCTCTCTTCATCAGTCTGGTGCTCTCACAGTTTCTCCCATTATAGGTTCGTTCAGCTCAAGTCTTTCAGGTATATCTCGAACCGCCTGGGTCTTTGACTCAAGTGCCACACATCATATGACCAATGACTCTTCTTTATTTGCATCTATTGTCTCTCCTCCATCTTTGTCTGTACTTGCTGCCAATGGTTCTCAAATGTCATTAGCTGGTGTTGGGATAATTATTTCTTCCAACCTTACCCTTTCAGATGTCTATTATATTTTTCAACTTACTTTGAATTTACTTTCAGTCAGTCAACTATTTGATTTTGGATTTTTGGTTTATTTCTCTTTCTCTTGTTGTGTTGTGCAGGATTTACGGTCCAAGAAGTTGATTGGGATAGGCTGTAGGAAGGGCGGGTTATATGTGTTGGAGGAGCTCCATGTCCCAGATGTTGTTGCTGCAGCTTCTACTGCTGATTTATCTTCATTTCGTTTGAGTCCAGAGTCATCTAGTTTTTATTTATGGCATTCTCGTCTTGGTCATGTTTCTTATTTTCGTTTAAAATTTTTAACTTCGACCGGTAGTTTAGCAAGTCATGACATTTTTGATTGTAGTGGATGCAAATGGACTAAATTTAGTNTGAGTCCAGAGTCATCTAGTTTTTATTTATGGCATTCTCGTCTTGGTCATGTTTCTTATTTTCGTTTAAAATTTTTAACTTCGACCGGTAGTTTGGGTAGTTTAGCAAGTCATGACATTTTTGATTGTAGTGGATGCAAATGGACTAAATTTAGTGCATTGCCATTTAATAAAAGTGTTACTTGTTCTCTTGTACCATTTTATCTTGTTCACTCTGATATATGGGGACCGGCTTCCATTCCTACACAAGGAGGGTCTAAATATTATGTTTCATTTATTGATAATTACACGAGGTATTGTTGGGTATTCTTGATGAAACGTCGGTCTGAATTTTTTTTCATTTTTACTACATTTCGTAACATGGTACACACTCAATATTTCACAGTCATTAAATATTTTCAGTGTGATCAGGGAGGTGAATATAATCTTACTTTTCATAATTTGTTGAAATCTGATGGTACACTTTATCAATCATCTTGCACTGACACACTTGAGCAGAATGGTGTTGCCGAACGAAAACACCGTCATATTCTAGAGACAGCACGTTCTCTTCTTTTATTAGCACATGTTCCCAGCTCATTTTGGGGGGAAACAGTTTTGACAACAGTTCATTTGATTAACACCATTCCTACTATTCTCATCTCTGGAGTCTCTTCATTTGAAAAATTATGTGATAAGTCGCCTAACTATTTTTCTTTATGTGTGTTTGGTTATACTTGTTTTGTTTTGCTTCCTAGAGTTCTTCGTACCAAACTTTCTGTCCGTTCAACTTTATGTGTATTTCTTGGTTATGATGAGGGTCAAAAAGGGTATCGTTGTTGTGATCCCATAACTCGCAAATTTTATGTCTCTCATCATGTTGTTTTTATGGAGCATATTCCCTTCTTTTCAATTCCATCTAGTTCTTCCTCATTGAATAAGTCTGACCTGTTATACATTGATCCCTTCCTTACTAATGTTCCTCATGACACATATGTTAGTGATATACCTGTGTCAAATCCTTCATCTTTTGAGCCGATTATTACTCGTCCCCCTATTATGCATACATATGTTCGCCGGACTCCAGTGATCTCCTCTGCGGATGTAGTGCCTCTCCTTTCCCCTCCAACCGNTGTGTTTGGTTATACTTGTTTTGTTTTGCTTCCTAGTGTTCTTCGTACCAAACTTTCTGTCCGTTCAACTTTATGTGTATTTCTTGGTTATGATGAGGGTCAAAAAGGGTATCGTTGTTGTGATCCCATAACCCGCAAATTTTATGTCTCTCATCATGTTGTTTTTATGGAGCATATTCCCTTCTTTTCAATTCCATCTAGTTCTTCCTCATTGAATAAGTCTGACCTGTTATACATTGATCCCTTCCCTACTAATGTTTCTCATGACACATATGTTAGTAATATACCTGTGTCAAATCCTTCATCTTTTGAGTCGATTATTACTCGTCCCCCTATTATGCATACATATGTTCGCAGGACTCCAGTTATCTCCTCTGCGGATGTAGTGCCTCTCCTTTCCCCTCCAACTGCCCAATCAGGTTCAAATACTGTGGATCATACCCCACGTTATCCTTAATGTTCTCCCAAATGTCCAGACAGGTTTGGTTGGAGTAATACTTGTTATTCTTTTGACTTTTGTTCTTTTCTTATGTCTATTCATTCTCTATCTGAACCCATCTCCTACAAAGAGGCTTTACTTGATTCACTTTAAAAACAGACTATGGATGAAGAGTTGTCTGCCTTACATAAGACCAGAGCTTGGGAGCTAGTGTCTCTACCGCCTGGTAAACGCACTATTGGTTGTACGTGGGTTTATAAGATAAAAATCAAGTCGGATGGTTCTGTGGAACAATATAAAGCTCGATTAGTAGCCAAGGGATTTGCTCAGGAATATGGTTTAGATTATGATGAGACTTTTGTTCCTCTTATCAAGATGACTACTGTTCGCACTGTGATTGGAGTTGCTGTCATTCGACAATGGAGTTAGTCGCAAATGGATGTGAAAAATGCATTTCTACATGGAGATTTAACTGAAGAAGTCTTTATGACACCTCCCCTTGGATTATCTTATAGTTCTGGTCAAGTTTGTCAACTTCATCGTGCCTTATATGGTCTTAAACAGGCTCCCAGGGCATGGTTTGCCAAATTCTCTTCAGTTATCTGTGACTTTGCTTTTCACGCCAGTGACCATGATTCTGCTCTCTTTTTACGGTCTACGTCCTCAAGTTCTATTATTCTTTTATTATATGTTGATGATATGATTATTACGAGTGATGACACTGTTAGCATATGCTTATTGAAAATTCAGTTACAGGACCATTTTGAGATGAAAGATTTGGGGCAACTTAGGTATTTCTTGGGTATTGAGATTGCTTCCTCTCCCAAAGGATATCTTCTCTCTCAGTCCAAGTATGTCTTAGATGTTATTTAACGAGCTCGTTTATCAGATAATCGGATAGTTGACAAACCTTTAGAACTCAATGTTCATTACTCTTCATCTGACAGTACTCCCTTGTCTGATCTAATCCTCTATCGGACTATTGTTGGGAGTTTAGTATATCTTATAGTCACTCGTCCGGATATATCTTATGTTGTTCACATTGTGAGTCAATTTGTTGCCTCACTCACCATCATTCACTGGGCTACTGTTCTTCGTATTTTNGACTATTGTTGGGAGTTTAGTATATCTTATAGTCACTCGTCCGGATATATCTTATGCTGTTCTTCGTATTTTTCGATATCTCCGTGGTACTCTACATTAGAGTTTACTATTTCCTCACTCTTCATCTATGGAACTCAAGGCTTACTCTGATGCCGACTGGGCTGGTGACTCTATGGATCGCCAGTCCACCACTTGTTTTTGCATGTTTCTTGGGAATTCTCTTATTTTCTGTAAAAGTAAGAAATAAACTGTTGTTTCTTGTTCTTCTACTGAAGCTGAGTATCGTGTTATAGCCTCTACTACAGCTGAGATAATTTGGCTAAGATGGCTCCTTGCTGAACTTGGCATTTCAGTATCATCTCCTACTCCTATATTCTACGACAACACCAGTGTTATTCAGATTGCTTATAACTCGGTCTTCCATGAGCGCACAAAACACATTGAGATTGATTATCACTTTGTCCGTCATCATTTGCTGCTGCAGGGCACCATTACTCTCCCCTTTTTTCCTTCCACAATGCAGATAGCGAATTTTTTTACAAAGTCTCATACCATAGCATGCTTTCAANCTTCCATGAGCGCACAAAACACATTGAGATTGATTATCACTTTGTCCGTCATCATTACTCTCCCCTTTTTTCCTTCCACAATGCAGATAGCGGATTTTTTTACAAAGTCTCATACCATAGCACGCTTTCGNTTGCACTGACCTAATATTTTATGCTTCCAATGGAGCCAGGCATATGCTTCCGAAGTTTGCCGTAAGGAATACCAAGCTTTGGGAATGTCAGTTGTAAGACGTTTCTTTCCTGCACATTTTTGTTTGTGAAACTAAAGCGGCGCTGCATTTTACTGAATGAAAGTAACTGATTCAATTCAGGTAAGCACATCATGGGGCATAGGACTGGTCANACTTGCTCTTGGTTTTATACATTTTCTCTTTCTCTTCTCTATGATTAATATTATCAGCCTCAACAAGCTAGCATGTACTTATATGCTGAGCGACATAAGTACATGCTCTCTCTCTCTCTCTCTCTCTCTCTCACAGCCTCCAAAAGCGACTCTATAACATTGTAAAGAATAAGCAAAACTAGCCCAGTAGAATAATCTATTCCCAATCATGCACAAAGAATAAATGCAGTCGTGAACATGGAATACTGTAATATACAAGGGAAATAAAAATGATTTTGACTACAGCCTCCTTCGGCCACCACATTGTTTTGACTAGTTATGTTCTATGACCAACCATGATTATATGAAAATCCACATTTATCGTTGAATAAAGACAGATTTTATGCGCAATATGTATGAGAACATTTATTTCTAAATCAACATAATTTTCAGTATTATTTGTAAATCACAAAATTGCACCTCTGTCAAGTCCAATAAATCTGCGGGGAGCTTTAGAGTCTTTCATTGAATGGACTAGATGACCTTCTTGCTTTTTAGAGAGAACTGTAATGGAAACCCGTGACATTACATAGGCCATCACAATCATCCTCTACCTCTAATCAGCTGACTTTAGAGACTTGTACGAAGTACAAACACTTGGAACCTTGCCATTAAGGGAACCAAAATATCTGCTAACCGTCTACCATCAAGAGTATGAATTCAAGTTTCGCAAAATCGTGAAATGGGCAACACAAATATGTTCAGACCAGTTGTCACGTGTCTCAACAATTATGTAGCATATCTCATGTTTTACACAATCCATGGTTTCCAAACTTCCCAAAATCATGAGTTCTCCGCATTTAGTCATGAAACGTGTAAATTTCAAATCATGCTATGGTTATCAAGAAAGCAGACGTATAACATCATTTTTCAAATCCTTTCACAAAATACCCAAATAATCAACACATGGAACCGTCAAAAAATCCAATTTATTCATGAGCCAATACTTGAAAACATTCCATATGCATAAAAGGGAAAAGAACACCCTACTTCACACTCCTTGGAACTCTAACTACAACCTACAAATCTTCAAGAGGCACCCAAGGATCCAAGCTCCTAGACATAACTCTCTTTTCTTCCTCCTTATCTCTCCAGTTGTTTAAAGTTTAGGATTGAAAATGGGAAGAAAATAGAACCGAAATCAGGATTGAGGGCTTTTATAAGGATCAAAATGGCTCAAAATGACATGTCATTATCAGATTTTGCACCCTGTTCAAACAACCTCTTCCGCCACCTGACCGTGGGCTTTAGATTTTGCCTAAAATACCTTCTAAACTCTTCCATTCCATCCCTAACTCCAAAATTATTTCGACTAATGCCAAAGACATGTGATCCATTTACTTTAAATCCACAATAATGCCATAAGATCCCAATTAACAATTGTAACCATTAGGAAAATTCCGAATTGCACAATGTAGTCCCATTCATGCAATTATTGCTGTCATGAATCAACCAATTGGTCATTGTCCAACCAAAATGGTTGCGCTGGTGTAATAGCATCATCTTCAGCAGCAGGCAGCAACAAATTTCCTTGAAATTTTGTACCTTAAGTCCGGGTTTTTATTGTATAATGTAAATGTCCATCGGGAGCTTAGCTACCTGCCTAAGTTATCATGAGCTGGCATTGACTACTAGATCTTATTTGCAGATACATTATCCTTTTTTGGTGTTAAAGTTTAACTGTGTAAGTTTAACTCATTGATTTTCTTCCAAACAAAGAGCCTTTAGTAGGTCCTGTTTACTTGTATGTCCGACTTATGGAGTTAAGAGTCAAACTTGTTTCTTCTTGCGTTTTATCTTCTGCTCACTGTCCGGGCATGTTGTCTGGTTGTCATGGGCCTCTAACATTGTTCCACATCTTTTCCTAGTTGCCATATAATATGCTGACTCTGACTGTGATGTGGGAACTTAGATGCTGTGCCATATCTATATAATAAAACACATAGCAATTTGAATTTTTATCCTCTACATATTTTCCTCCCTAAAAACATCACACCATTCATTTCTATCATATGTTTAATCATTTAATATTTGATTAATTTGTAGTTAATATAATTTTTATTTCAAACATTATTCATATACGATAGTATACACATGTTGAAAAAATTTAATATAATGTGATCGATTTTTTGGGCGCTCGAATTTTATATTTTATCGTGCTTTCAGCACGGGTTATGACTTGTAGGATCATATTTTGGACCATTTCGCGTGCACTATATTGTGCTACTTGTCTGGCTGACATGACATGATGACAATGCCTTTTGGACCATCTATATCTAATTTCTCCTTTGAAATATAAAAAGCACCTATAAATTTTTTTTACCTTTTTTTACTTTCTATTTTTTGTGGTTGCACTGACCTAATATTTTATGCTTCCAATGGAGCCAGGCATATGCTTCCGAAGTTTGCCGTAAGGAATACCAAGCTTTGGGAATGTCAGTTGTAAGACGTTTCTTTCCTGCACATTTTTGTTTGTGAAACTAAAGCGGCGCTGCATTTTACTGAATGAAAGTAACTGATTCAATTCAGGTAAGCACATCATGGGGCATAGGACTGGTCATTGGTCCAGCTATTGGAGGTTTTCTTGCTCAGGTTCAGCTTTTTTTGCCCCTACCCCCCCCCCCCCCCCC